CCGTTAGTACCGCAAGGAGCCCCCACATTTGGACTGGTATCTCGGATCGAGGAGTCAGAAGTTGTGCAGGCACTGAGGAAGATGTCTAGCGGTAAAGACCCGGGACCCGACGACATCCTGCTGAAGTATGGAAGATGATGGGGCAGCGTGGAGCGGCATATCCCACATCGCTCTTTAACCGCATTATCGTCGACGGACAGTTGCCGCGAATCTGGACTACGAGTGTTACAGTCCCTATCTGGAAGGAAAAGGGCGACGTCAGCGACTGTTCAACATATCGACCAATACGATTGCTATGCCACACGATGAAGATCTCCGAACGAGTCATTGACGCACGCATTCGAAGTATAGTGGAGGTCACCCCGAATCAGTGTGGCTTTGTAAGAGGATCTGGCACCATCAACGCCATCCACGCAGTACGATTGCTAATGGAAAGGCATTTCGAGAAACGGATTCCGATTCATTTCGCATTCCTGGATTTAGAAAAGGCATTTGTTCGGATAGCACATGGGCTGATCTGGTATGCGCTGAGGCAACACGACTTCAAAAGAGTACGTTCGCTGAATCAAACTCCTCTATACGAACACGACGGGCGCCATACGCTGTGCAGTGGGACGTCAACGCCATCCCCAATCCAAGTCGGAGTACATCAAGGATCGGCTCTATCACCGCTTTTCTTTATATGGTGCATGGACACGGTGACCAAGGACATTCAGCTGCCGCATCCGTGGACGCTCCTTTACGCAGACGACGTCGAGCTAGCAAGCGGATCGAGACAAGAGCTTGAAGAGGCGACTGTGAGATGGAAGACACGATTAGCGGAATATGGCCTGCGATTGAACGTAGCAAAGATCGAGTACCTGAAATGCGGAGAGCGAACCGATGACATAATTAGCATCGATAGGAGCCGCTGAAGAAGGTCACGATATTCAAATACCTGGGCTCCCGAGTGACGTCGGATTGCGACACGATCACTGATGCTCGTGTTAGGACGAACGCGGCGTGGCTAAAATGGCGGCAAGTAACAGGAGTACTCTGCGATTCCGTTGTATCTCAAGTCGAAAGTGTATCGGACTGTGGTAAGGCCAAGCGCACTTTACGGAGTCGAATGTTGGCCAGCAAAGGAAACACGAGCAGATCCTGAGCACGATGGAGACGCGAATGATAAGATGGATATTTGGCCTAAGGAGAAGAAACTGCGTCACGAACGATGATGTACGACACATATTCGGAGTTGCACCTATCGCGGATAAGATGCGAGTTGCCAGATTACGATGCTATGGTCACGTTTTACGAAGTGAAGATGATACAGTAGCAAAAACAGCAACTTCGTCTAGATTCCACAAGGGAAGAGAGCACGTGGCCGGCCGAATCAACGCTGGTTGGACACCATTCGGAACGACCTGCATATTGCAAAGCTCGAACACAATAAGCAGCTGATCGAGTCAAATGGAAGCAGAAATGCACCACCGCCGACCCTGCCCCGCGGGACAATGGCGAAGATAAAGAAGAAGAAGAAGAAGACATTCAGACACATACACACAAAAACATGCAAACAACCCCTTCAGCTCGTCATGATAAGTTATGACGATAACGGACAAGGGTTGTTTACGTGTGTTTATGTGTGTTGAATTTCACTCTGTTACGAAAATCATGGGGCATCCCAAGGTTTTGAGACAAAAATGCGGAATACATGCTAGCAAGTAACAGCACATGCACAAAGACTAGCGGATCCGATGCGTAGATCCCTACAGGATTTGCTCAAACGGAGCCACGCTCCACTCTGAGCTTGCAGGACTGAGTAGGTTCGATTCTTTGCAAAGTCATGATTTGCATGAATGGGTATGTGTACATTTTAGCCCGAAAATGTAGTACGTCTTGAGCGAATAGGCTCTCAAAAGGTTAGTAGAATAAATCACCGCTACGAGCTCCTACCTAAGAAAATGGGGAGAGTGTGCTCAGAGATGAAGCTCGTAGGCGTTGGTTAGCAAAAGGCTTTGGTTCAAGCATTTCCTAAATGCTGAGACGGATATAAGTCCGCTTTGCTTCAGTTGTTCGTAGCACATCCCCTAAGCAACTTTGATCATCAAAAGCACATATGACTTGGGATCAGAGTATACTAGATAAGTTCTAAACGCAAAATTGAATTCAGTGACTTTGTCATCATTCTAGTATCCATCCCTCAAACTCACACAGTTGATGCAAGTAACAGCTTCATATATCAAACGCCATATTTGCGTGAAAGTTTTGGGGTTGCTAAACATGAGAAGCCATCAATTTTTTTTGCAGATCCAAAGTTTTTCTAGCTTAAAAGCCTTTGTGTTGTAGTGTAGTACAAGGTTTTCTGTGAGATAAACATTTTGATTCACAAATTGCAATGCAAGTCTAGCCAAAGTTTGCTTTCTGCTGGAAACTCCACATACGAATTTGATTCAAAGCAGATTCATAGAAGTTTTGAAGAGCGAATGCCCTGATATTACTTGGATTTTGGATGGACTGAAACTAATTTAAATGCATAGTCATAGTTAATAAATGGCATTGTATGAGGTGTAATGAAACGGAAAAGAACGGAGTGTCCACGTGACTGATATAGTAAAGTTAGATCAGCCTAGATATCGACCACTTGGCAGGAATGAGTTTGCAGAGTGGGTAAACAGGTTGAGGCAAGTTGAAGAAAGGTTTGCTGAAGCATTTTTGTATGGAATGAATGGATTCGCGGACGCGATATCTTATCGCACCGCAGGGACTAAGCCCATTTTATTCGCGTTTCATTCGCGAAAAGCCCATTTTTGAATGGACTTTCGTGGATATCATTCCAGGGTAACACCCTTCACCAAAAGCCGAAAAAAAATCAACAGTAAGGTAAGGTCAAGCAAAGGAGATATTGTACGGGAACTGTTTGTGTATCGGAAAGGAGGAAGAAGATTTATAGGCTTTTACGAACTTCCAGGAGGAACAGTAGTAGCTTCTGTAGCTGCACAGCAACGTCAGCGAAGAAAGTTTCGTGCTACAACGTTTTCTTCTGGTTTCAGGGATCAAATAGTTTGCCTAGAGTCCGTCCATAGAAGCACCTAGTGAAAGGTGTGCCTAGTGATAGACACTTACGAGTTTTCGACATTAAAAAAGATTCATAACTTTTGTAGATGGCCATCTCACCATTGGAACTGTCTTGTCCTCAGCTTTCAGACAATATATATCTTGGCTAGGATCCTTTGAAAAATGTGCCGGGTGAAGGGTGGGTGAGACTTTTATAATGGGGGTGCTCAAGTGGAGGCTTTTTTACTATTGTGAAAATACGTCTACTTGAGCACTCCCACTATGATAGTCTCACCCACCCTTTACCGACACTTTTTCAATGGACCCCAGGAAGTGTATATATTTTCTAAAAGCGGAGGACGAGACGGTTCCAGTGATGACCATCTCGGAGTACAAGATGTTCACTTACAAAAGTTAATAATTCTTTATTTTAAAAACTCGAAAATTTCCAGAAATTACTAGCCACACCCTTCACCCAGGCACATTTTTGGACGAATCTCAGACATGCTACATATTTTCTAAAAACGGGGGACGAGGCGGTTCCGATGGTGATCACAGCTGCGCACAGATGTTTATCTCCAGAAGTTATGGATTTTTTTTAATCTAAAAGTTCGTAAACATCCGGAAATTCAGAACTCCTAGACTTTTTTGAAAGGATCTTAGCAAACCACATATTTCCTGGAAGCTGAAAAAAAGGTGGTTCTGAAAACAATTTTTGTTGCTAATGTTGCTGTTTATATACAAAAGTTACAGGTTTTTTCCTTTGAAAATTCGCAAATGCTTAAAAATGGTCTACCTCTTTCCCAAAGCAGATGCTCTCGCGTACACATCTTCTATGGTAATTTTAAAAACATATAGGTGGTTCCAATTTTACTTCAGTCTTCACATTCCGGTAAAAAGACAACCATTAATGCCAGAAAATTTAAGATGATAAAATTTGATCAGAGTTAAGAGAACACCATCACCCCCTCTCCCCCCCCTGGTCAACATTTTATGATTTCACGATTAACTGAAACACCCTTCACCCTGGAGGAGTCCTTCTCACCTTATCGCATCTATGGTTCCCACGCGGAAGATTCCCTGCGGAATCTTATCGCGCGTCCGTTGGAATGTTTTGTTGCGATTTGTATAATTGTGAGTATTATCATAACTTATAATAACGGGCTAAGGGTTGTTTACGTTTGTGTGTGTGTCTGTGTGTGTGAATCTCTGTCTGTCATGAAATTCGTAGGAAGAGTTCCAGCCAACCTATTTGGCCCAAATTTTGCATAGTACATCCTAGCAGCAGGAAAGTCCATTGTGCAAAAGCACAAGCGGATCCGATAAGTGGATCCCCTAGAAATTGCGCGTGAAACGGGTCCACTTAACTTCTGGCCAGCAAAATTGGGTCCGTATATAAACTTTTTGCAAAGTCGCGGATATGTTTGACAAGCTACTATACAAGCCATAGACTTTAGCCCAAAAAATTAGACTAAAGTTGGTTACTTTACGAAGATGGCGCCAAAAAGAATTAGTTGCGTAAATGCTCAGTTTCCCAAGATTTTAACTGATCATTTGAGACAATTTTTGCACAGAGATGTAGCCCACGATGATTAATGTCGTTATGGCGACTACCAAGCCATAAAAGGTCCACAAACCTACACAAATTTGCATTTATTGTTTCGAGAAAAGTTTCATCCACGTGAAAATACCGATCTCATGCAAAAAAGATCTAGGAATGAGTAGCTGTTTACAAATCATTCGTGATAGGCTGCATAACGCGGTGAGTTTTAATGTCACTATTATGCGGGAATGAGTAAGGCATACAGAAAGTAGGGCCAGTGCGAGCCTCTGCGAAGCAGAGGTGACGCACTGGTGTATCGATATTTTTGGATCGTTCCAAACCATTGAGCCCGTTTTTTTTAAACTAACCATCAATACAAAGAAGATGACTTTGCGAGCAGGTTTTGAGTAATCTTACGGACCTGTTCAAAATATGTGAGCGGAATTTGTTTACGCGACAAATAAACCGTATCACAGCCTCGTCCTCCTATATCGAAATAATATGCTGGTATGATGTCGCTATCCATCTTCTTGCATAGATCGGACTCGGTCAATGTAGGACCTGAAGTATAAATATAGAGTTCCATGCTACGCAGCTTATTGAGTCTAACCTAGGCTCAGGATGAGAAAAATGATAGCAGCTATAATCATCATACGGCCAGTGGTGCTGTTGAACAACGAATGAAAATGACTACGCTTCAAAATCCTACGCTGCTTTTTTATCAGGATCAAAACATTGATAAAGTAACGGTATTGGAGAACGCCACACTAAGGGAGTTCATTTTTGCTGGCTTGCTACTCACTCTCAATCACAAATAGCGGATACATGACTTACAAGTTGATTTGTGTACACAGTTTTCATAGATTTCTCAAATTTAGCTATTACAGTAACAACAATTGGCAGCCTCTAAACCACCTTAGATGGCTCTCGGAGTGGCTCGAAAGCCGTCTACGAAAGAAGTTTGCCAAGTCCAACCAAGTCGCCTAACTTTCTATAGTCCTTCATTCATAATACTAAGTCCCTATTGCGCATCCACACACCAGTTTTGATGTAATGTCATTTCCTCTTCGCTGTGAACAAATATTTTGTTTATTTCGAAGCACATTAACATAAAACTATAAGTCCTCTTTTCTTGTAACCTGGGCATTTAGTTTATAACTTTGACAATTCTTCTATGCCGTACAGGTTTTTATTGGTGATACACTTTATTCCTGCCTTACGTTTCGGTTAAACACCGTCTTCAGAGGCCTGGAAAGGAGTCAGTCACTCTGATATTACTTTCCTTGCCGCCAAAACCTCTTCACACCCGCGTATTCGATTCGTCTCGGGTGGAGATTGAGAGATTGGGCGTGAAAGTCTACCCACCAAGTGTATCACCGTGGCAGCAGCGTATGCTGCTTCAGGACGTGCTCGAGTAACTTGTCGAATGAGCAGTTGGATCACTATGAGATGGCTTAAGTAAGGGTGACAATCTCATAGTTCGCATAGCGCAAGATATGGCAATAGATCACTTGTGATAGAAAGCTTTTCATTCTTGCCGTTCATTTTTGGGTCACGGGCAAGTATGTAAGATGCTTCTAGAGCCTTTCGGGCAGCGATTTGATCTTCGAAGGCCAGAATCTTGCATTTGATGTTGTAATCGTCACCGTTGTGCTCTACATTTCTGTGTCTACCTAAAGGAGACACTATACTCTGTCGTTTTTTGCTGGCTAAATGCTCGCTTATCCTTACGCTTAGCGGCCGACCTGTTTCTCCAATATAAATGGCAGAGCAGCTCATACATTCAATTTGGTAGACAACGCCACATTTCGCGCAGTCTCCTGCTTTTCCGTAGGGGCACACTACGCAGTCTCGTGTAATACAAGCACTATCATACAATCTGTTGCGAACTAACTGTCTCTTGAGGTTAGCCCGCGGAATATTGATAAGTATGACGTCTTTCTCCAACTGTGCTTGTACTAGGCATTGTTTGATTGCGGCAGTGACTCGTTCGGAAATGAAAGGCAGGCACAGAGGTACCCGATTGATACTCTGTTCACCCATCTTTTTTGGAGTTCTTCTTGAATGTTTGGGCTGCATTGTATATCCATTTGACGTCATAATCATAGCTGCCATTTTTAATGATTCATCTCGTTCACGTCTGCCACTACTGATGTTCTTTGCCGTCTCAAACATATTGTGAATGACAGCTCGTTTGACGGCCATCGGATGTGCGGACTTTGCGTGCAAAATTATGTTTTTCTTACTCTCTTTGCGATACCATTTGATGCTAACTGAGCCTTTATTCATCATCAATTGCGTATTCAAGAAAGGGAGCCACCCGTTTCGCGGTTTTTCTCTTGTCAGGCTTATGTACTGCGATTGCTGATTTAGTATATTGAAGCACTCGTCCATTTCGGACTGAGTGGATGTTATAATACAGCAATCGTCAATATACCTGCAGTACATAAGCGGGCTTCTGAATAGCACAGGTTGTTCTATCTTGCTCATGTAGCAGATTGCTAACACGGGTGCTAATCTTTGGCCCATTGCCAGCCCTCTAATCTGCGCGTAATATTTTCCACACCACCTGAAAATATTGCAGTTCAAGCATTCTTTGATGAGCGTTACGATGCGCGTCTTGCTGAGGCCGTACATCATCATGGTTGTGCCATGTGAGTCCAGCATTTCAGAAAGTGCTTGCAAGGCGCTTCCAATGGATACATTTGTATACAAAGAGTTAACATCGAACGTCTCATACGCGCAATTCTCATTAAACTTCGTTTGGCGTAGTAACTCTAGAAAATGACTTGTGCTGCTCAGGTGGGCCGGTATTCTGTTCAAAAGTTGGCTGACAATTTTGACAAGGAACCAAGATATTCGATCCGTTGGCCCATTGGTGCAACTGACGATGGGTCGTATCTTATAGGTTTTTGCAGACACAGATTGCAAATCGAGCAAAGAGAGTTTGTGCGTTTTAATTAAGCCATAAAAGACAGGGCATGTTGGGGTTTCTAGCTTGAGTCTAGTAAGGAATTTCTCGTGAAGGCCAGCTTCTCTACCTATCAATGTCCAGATGTGATTTAGCTTCTTACTTTGTGATATAAAATCTTTCTCACATGATGGTTGATAAATAGTTCTATCTGACAGATGTTCTTCAACTATCTCGCGGTCAAGGTCTTGTGACATGACTACAAACTCTCCACCTTTGTCACTGACCGAAAGGCGGATAGTACCATTACTGGTCAGTTCTCTCATCTCCCTAAAGCCTTGCTGCTGCGCATGCGTTAAGTTAGATCTTCTTATGTTTTTATTTTCGTTGAGAATGTTCAAAATACCCATAGAAAGTATTCGGAACTTTGTGTCGGCTACAGCGTAAGGCTCAGGCTCCTTGTAGAAAGAAGATGGGAATGGTATTGGTGGTAGTGTCCTTCTACTTAGAGCATCGATTGTTTGTGGTTGGTCATCATGTCTTAAGTTAATCCGAAGCTGGTCTCTTAATCGTTGCAGTGATCCTAACACGCTGCGATAAGTTTTCGCTGTTATATTCTGGGTAGGTGCAAACGAAGGTCCCAGACTCAAAAATTCAACAGCATTAGGTGAGATTTGAGCTTTACCTAGCACCGTGACTCTTGCCGTACTTGCGTTTTCATTCGATCGAGCAGTCATAGTATCAAGAGTGTGAACTACTGGTGGATTTCTATCGGCACCCAAAAGACTCCGCTTACCTTCGCCCGAGAGTTTTTCGAATTTTTCGCGAAGTCGAGCTTTGGTTTTAGACCGCAAGGAGTCGCATATCTGTTTTGACGCGCTTTCGATCCTCAACCACATATTATCACTCAAATATCGTCGGCATGAGTCTTCTTTAGTTTGACACTTCAGCAGGTTGGAGTATAGCGTGCGCTGCTTTTCTTTGATCACCACTTTGAGAATGTTCGTATTGAGTCCACGTATCCTTGGGTGATTTTCTGGTAAACCGCATGTCACTCCCAACTTCTTATTTGCGATGAAGTGTGGAAACATTCCGGTCGACTTGCAACGTTTGAGGAATGTCAGCTGCTGTCGAGTGACCACGACTTTCTGGCGGTAAGCTAATGCTTCTCGCACTAATGAGGACATGTTCGGCGGTACTTCAGAGATTAAACTATAAGTCCTCTTTTCTTGTAACCTGGGCATTTAGTTTATAACTTTGACAATTCTTCTATGCCGTACAGGTTTTTATTGGTGATACACTTTATTCCTGCCTTACGTTTCGGTTAAACACCGTCTTCAGAGGCCTGGAAAGGAGTCAGTCACTCTGATATTACTTTCCTTGCCGCCAAAACCTCTTCACACCCGCGTATTCGATTCGTCTCGGGTGGAGATTGAGAGATTGGGCGTGAAAGTCTACCCACCAAGTGTATCACCGTGGCAGCAGCGTGTGCTGCTTCAGGACGTGCTCGAGTAACTTGTCGAATGAGCAGTTGGATCACTATGAGATGGCTTAAGTAAGGGTGACAATCTCATAGTTCGCATAGCGCAAGATATGGCAATAGATCACTTGTGATAGAAAGCTTTTCATTCTTGCCGTTCATTTTTGGGTCACGGGCAAGTATGTAAGATGCTTCTAGAGCCTTTCGGGCAGCGATTTGATCTTCGAAGGCCAGAATCTTGCATTTGATGTTGTAATCGTCACCGTTGTGCTCTACATTTCTGTGTCTACCTAAAGGAGACACTATACTCTGTCGTTTTTTGCTGGCTAAATGCTCGCTTATCCTTACGCTTAGCGGCCGACCTGTTTCTCCAATATAAATGGCAGAGCAGCTCATACATTCAATTTGGTAGACAACGCCACATTTCGCGCAGTCTCCTGCTTTTCCGTAGGGGCACACTACGCAGTCTCGTGTAATACAAGCACTATCATACAATCTGTTGCGAACTAACTGTCTCTTGAGGTTAGCCCGCGGAATATTGATAAGTATGACGTCTTTCTCCAACTGTGCTTGTACTAGGCATTGTTTGATTGCGGCAGTGACTCGTTCGGAAATGAAAGGCAGGCACAGAGGTACCCGATTGATACTCTGTGTCACCCCATCTTTTTTGGAGTTCTTCTTGAATGTTTGGGCTGCATTGTATATCCATTTGACGTCATAATCATAGCTGCCATTTTTAATGATTCATCTCGTTCACGTCTGCCACTACTGATGTTCTTTGCCGTCTCAAACATATTGTGAATGACAGCTCGTTTTGACGGCCATCGGATGTGCGGACTTTGCGTGCAAAATTATGTTTTTTCTTACTCTCTTTTGCGATACCATTTGATGCTAACTGAGCCTTTATTCATCATCAATTGCGTATTCAAGAAAGGGAGCCACCCGTTTCGCGGTTTTTCTCTTGTCAGGCTTATGTACTGCGATTGCTGATTTAGTATATTGAAGCACTCGTCCATTTTCGGACTGAGTGGATGTTATAATACAGCAATCGGTCAATATACCTGCAGGTACATAAGCGGGCTTCTGAATAGCACCAGGTTGTCTCTATCTTGCTCATGTAGCAGATTGCTAACACGGGTGCTAATCTTTGGCCCATTGCCAGCCCTCTAATCTGCGCGTAATATTTTTCCACACCACCTGAAAATATTGCAGTTCAAGCATTCTTTGATGAGCGTTACGATGCGCGTCTTGCTGAGGCGCCGTACATCATCATGGTTG